ATATATATATATATATATATATATATATATATATATATATATATATAAATAAGCGAACGTGTGTACTTTCTCGCGCTTTCTCACATACTTTCTTCTTTCACGCATTTCCACTCGGGTTCTTTCTCTCTCGCTTTCTCTTCCTCTCTATTTCTGTCTTTCAACCTCTCATGCACACTCTCATTCTCGCCGTATCCGTTCTCTTCTCTTATATTTCGTCTACTATTAATAACAATGATTATTAATCTCTCCAACGACTTAAATGTGATGTAAATTTCTCTTGTAATATACGCGTTTTCTTCTTTTTCCCTTTTTCTTTTCCTCCTTTCTTTTCACCCTATCTTCCCGACACCACTTTGCTCTTCGGCATAGTCGATAGAGAGCCTAAAGTTCAACTTATATATTTATGCATTTATTTCTCGATACGTCATACAGTGGTGTGTCGTTAATAAAATAAAACTATCAGATATACTACAACAGTCAGCCAAGCGAAAACGGATTGATCAGTGGCGGGGCGTTACACTCTGTGTGAAGCCGCGATCGAGAATCGTGTGGGCGATCGAAGAAAAAGAAAAGAGAAAAAATATAATCGGCCTCAGGATCTAGCGCGCGAAGCGCCTTTGTGACTAGAATCAAGCGTGTCCGGATTTACGATATCGTATGCCGTCAAATTCCGATATCGACATCTACGTCGGGACTTCCCTCTCCCCTGGAGAATCTTGGTCAGAATCTTGTCCCTCGAGAGACGTCAAGGTACACGAAATCGATAGACCACTTCGATGGAAGGGCAACATTTAAGAAAAAACGTTCGCACTTGCAAAAGGAGTTCGAAAATAAGGTTCCTTGCTGAAAGGACTAGTAACTAAGGAGTACAATGATGTCATTAACATTTGGACGATAAAAAGAGTATTACGTAGACACGCTCCTAAGTTACACTCGCGGAATGTGATTTGGAGAAGCGACAGAGTCCAATATATAATTACAAAATGTATATATACGTATACCTTCGATTGTACTTGGGCGTTTACAGCAGCTTGCCAGCAGATCTTCTGCGACAGATTCGCATTCTGTTATATTTCTGCTAATATTCTGCCGACAAAACTTGGTACTTTGCAAAAACTGCCCAGTAAACAAAATGTTAGCAGTATGCTAATGGTTTTTCAGTAGATTCGAGTGGGAAACTTTGGCAAATTGACATTAATTGTGTCCGCGATAAGCTCGTGTTCCGCTAATAGAGTCTACCAATGTAATCGATAGAATCTGCTAACAGAATGATAGCAATTTGCCAGCAAAAACCGAGTAAACTCTGCCATTTTATAACGAGTTAATTCGAACATATATATATATATATATATATATATATATATATATATATATATATATATAAATGACTATGAAATTGCACTCGGTTTCTGCAGTCAATCCGCTATTATGTTCCGTTAGCAGTTTCTGTTATATTTCTGCTGGCATTCTGCCGAGAGAATTGGTAGTAAACGCTTTTACTAAATTCGTTTTTCGATAAACTATCTGAGCAATGGGGAACGTACTAGACGGCATGGGATGGAGCTAAACAAATCGGGTTTTTGCTGTGCGTGAAATGTCTCAGTACTACATGTCGACTGATGTCGACCGTCATGGAATGCTATTATATACGTAATATATATCAAGAGAACGAGTCCTTTTTGACTACATGCCGCATTTGGACACTCCGCGCAATCACGTGTATCGTGAATTAATATCAAAGACGTTGAGATGTTCTCCATGTGAGGTGCACAGTAGACACATGTATTTTATAATGCCGCACCTGTTATCCGAAATTTGTTACACGTAAGAGAAGTTAGTAAAAGCCTCGGAACAACGCAATCGTCTACCATCTTGCGAGGAAGCTATCAATTTCAGATCGTTGAACTATAAACTGGGAAAACAGATCGTTCTGCTTCGAAAAAAGAATTGGATCGAACGAGAATTGAATTCTTTCTGTACCAACTCTAGCTGTAACTTCATATTCTGAAAAAAATAAGTTTTGTCATATAATTCCAATTTTGTTCATTTGCTACAAGTGAATAAATTGTTCGTCAAGAACCCGGTGATCCCAAATTGAATATTTCCTCGTTAGACGAAGTCATCAGTTACGTTCGTCGACGCACATTCGTCGCGGGTACATACGTCCGTGCCGCATTGCGCGGCGAACGTCTTCGAGGAGCGCTGCTTAAGCTCTAAAAGTAGACATGAAAACACGATGTGTCAGAGTGTGGCGTCTATATCCATAGATTAGCGTAATTTTATCTATTTCGCATACTGTGAGATACCAAGTGCGAAAACCCCAAAGCTTCGTCCCAGCTTCGTATCAATGTGGATCTCGGTCGATTACAAATAGAAAAATTTCTTACGTCGTCTGGACATGCCGCTTGCTTGCCGACTACATTGCGTATTTATTCGTGTTTCGAAGAAGTTTTTATAAGTTTTTGCATTATTTTTCCGCTCTCTTGTCGGAATTATTTTCTCCATGTAATCTCGCAACAATGATAACAACTTAAAATCCCGTTATGATTCGTAAAAATCGTGCACGACTTTTGTCTTGAAGAGTGAAGAAGAAAAATACAGTTATACATATCATAATGCTGCATTAGAATTGTAACCAAGTTTCGTACGAATTGTTATTATCTCGTTGCAAGATTTCTACATTATTTTTGGACAAAAATTCTTAGAAACAGAGAGTTACAAATGTTAAGTTATTGTGTATTCAATCTGTTCTTAAGGACTCTTGTTTTTTTGTATCGCTTTGCTTTAAAACTCTTTAATCTATTTATATAGTAAAACAGTAGCTGCCAAGTACTAAAAAAATATGTAGGATTTGCAGATATCTTAAGACAGGATAAAATTACCCTATATCGAGGATAATAGCGATGCAGTGCGAAAAAACGTTTCGAACTACGTTAAAAGAAAGTATTCTGCGAGTCAAGAAGTAGCGATTCCTATCTCCCACTTTCGTTGCCTCTTAGATTTCACACCTTAAATGGTATTCGAATCTTTTTTGCATTCCGATGCAAAGTTAGCGTCGTTACTTTAGAGCAATATTATCCTATCTTACAGTATACGTGCGCTGCAACCGAAATTACTTGAATCTCTAATTAAGAAGGTAAAATCTTCATCGAGCGACTCGGCCGATCGATTGCGTGTACGGCAGCGTATAGGACCTTTCATACGGAAATCGGATAGTCAGTATAGGTATACGTGTCTAATCTGCTTGATCGAGTAAAAGAAAACGATTGGTAAACGAAAAATGGGAATGTAATCCTCATAGAAAATCGTCTCTACTTTTTTAAACGATCGTCACGATACTAAAATGCTTAGACAGAGTACTATCTTAAACGAGTCTTAACGATTTGCTCGAATCATCTTACAAAATGTTAACGCTCTTTTTTTTCTCCGTTGTAATAATCTTTCTGTGTACTAAGCGATCGTTAAGCTTGCGTATGAAATTACTAATATTCTTCTTGTCTCTCGTTTATTTCGTTTTCTCTCTCTTTCTCTCTCTCTTTCTCGCTTTCTCTTGCATACTTCCTCTTCTACAGATATATCTATAACATGTATTCCTTATCCCGATTTTCAGTGATCGTCTTAGGAATATGTTTATTAGGCATAAATGCATTTGCTATCTCCCTCATACGTCACGTAAGGAGTATCGCGTAATTACGACATACGTATCACGGAAATAAAAGTTCAATGAAAACATTCGCGCGCTCGTGCGCGCGCGACCTCGTGTCTCGTCGACGTGGGGAGCACTTCGAATGCGGATTCGAAATGTACGGAGAGACTCGAAAACGAACGCATTTTTTTTCCCAGTACGGTGTAACCGAATGCATTTGTACGCGCATTTGTAACTTCTTCGAAAGACGAGCACTATCTTCCTTCCTTTCATTTTTTTCCCCGCTCTGATTGCCCTGTAACGTGCTAAGGGGACGCTGTGTAAAGTAAAACGTCGATATTATATGCCGCCGATCGTGGAGTAGTCTCAAGGGACAGCTTCGCCACTGTCTGGTCAATCAAAGACTAGCGGAAATCGAAAGTTACAGAAGTCTTGGGACTCTAAGGCCGAGTGTGACCAACACATAATTTTTTCCGACGCCTTCGCTATTGCACTCGTTACCCCGGCCATAGTGTCGACCACTCACTTGGTCTGATTGCTCTGCTGCTCCAGCTGCGGTGTCATGCCAATCGGCGCGCCGTTACTTAGATTCAGGGCAGCCGGACTTTTACGGGCGAGTTTTGACCTATGACAACATATCAAGCATTCTATTCATCGTTCCCATACTTTGTGTATCTCAGACAGTTATGTTATAGAATTTTAATTCATATTAAAGTAAACGGGGTGAGATAAATTCATGCTATTATACATGCCTAATTTGACCAGCTAGGAGAGGATTAATCGCATACAGCCAGTCGTAGACCTCCTTATCCCCTAAAGTTTGCAGCAAGTATCCCCTGTGCTTGGTGACGACGCTACATAGACAGATATTTCATTACATACCGTATAATTACGTATCCACTTCCTTATTCGCGAACAATTTACCTGAAGGTATTCGGCACTTTCACCATGGCCAGCTGATCTTCGGAGTATTCAACTTGAGCCGTAGCTAAATTAATTAATGCCCTTTCAACGGGATCTTTCTCCTCACGGAAAATGAGAACGTACGGTCGGCGGACAGCCTGAAGCGATAAAGAAGAAACGTTTAGTATTAAAAGATATTTTTACATTTTCTCTTCTTTTTTCAAGTGCAAACGTACCACCCAGCGTTTCTTCCAGCCGTTGGTCTTGTGCTCGAGAACGTTCAAGTAGCCCTTCCGCGCGATGACCGGACTAATACGTATTTCCTCCACTTCCGGCACGTACAGCACCAGGTTCTCCTTCGACGGCGAGGATGATCCGAGCGGCGGGGGCGCGACAGTGCAGGTCTGATTAGCCGACTCGCTCGCCAATATACTCTCCTGGAGCTCTTGCAGTCTAGCCCTCTCCGGTGAGCTCAACCTAAGGAGGCACGACTTAGACCTGCTCCATATTATTATACCAGCAGCCTGCAAGTAACACTCCAGCATAACCCCGACCACGAGCCAATCATGCTGGCGGTTGTCTCGGCAAGTCGAGACACTCGAGTCTCGAATGCCACACGTTGAAACGAACGAATGCGGAAGCAGATGATTTCTCGGAAGCTGAATTGATTTGAGAAAGCGCGATAATCTGTGTCGAGCTGAGCTAAAAAAAATGCGTGAATTGACCGCCGCTTCACACGGCAACGAGTAAAAATGAGATCGAATATCGTTTTGATTTATCAAATCGCTTCAAAGCTCACTCGGTGTCTTCATCCACGTCTCATTTACTTAGCGTGTATCAGACTGTAGCAAAATTGTACACGTGTATCGAGAAGATATTCGGCAACAAATAAACCGAGCATTTTTTAACTGTCGGATATTGAAATTGTTCTTTTTTTTTAGAAAGGAATTTAATAATACGACGAAGCGAAGCATGGACAACCGCTACTAGCAGGAGCACTCAGAGGCATGCAAGGAGGGTTACCTGCTCTAACAAATCGCTAGCTCTCGCATATACTGACTCTTGAGATGAGGACGATATGACCGAGGACATCATAGACGCGGATAGATCGGTTATGGTGTCTTCCCCGGGCGAAACATCGGTGAGCATAATCGGCTCCTTGCTCGGGATTCTTCCCTGGATGAGTTTAATGTACTTGGTCGCTAATTCACGCTCCTTCTCGGTCATCTCCCAGGGTTCGTAAACGTCTTTACTCGTCGAACGTTTCAGCTTCACCGGGCTGGCGTGTGGCTCGTTCGTAGCCTTCGCCACCATATTACACACATCCTGGTACCAGATTAGAATTGTTATACAATTCTATGTCACTATGAATTAATATACATATAATTCTGTGTCATATTTAATGATACAAGATACACAGGTACCTTTTCGCTCTTTGTAAAATCGTGCAGAGGTTTATTGCAGAACGGTACTTTGTCAATGCCGAGCTTCTCCCGTAACAACAATGTGTGCCGCACTCTCTCCACTTCCTCCAGCCTCGTCAACTTCTCGAGCTCCCATTGATGATCAAATATAAGACTGTCTCCGCGTGGTCTCCATCCGTGCAGATTCTCCTCGCCCCTGACGTACGTGGAGCTCGTGTCCAAAACGCGACGTTGACGTCTTTGAACTCCTGTAAATAAATAGGGAGGGAAAAGGAATGGGTATCGAGAAAGAGGAAAACGCCAAAAGTGTGAGTAAATGTAAAACAATTATTCTTTACGTAAAATAATAATTGAAGAAATGTTTTACTAAAGGATAGTGTAGTGGATCAATATTGTGCTTTTTTATATTAAGATAAATATTTTAAAGTCGGAATAACTAATAATTATCATACTATAATTTGAAAATAATCGAATTATATTTAACCATTACTTCTTCTTTCAAATTAAGAACAATACTGTTTGTTTTAGTTTCAACACTTGAAAAGTCGTTAAAAAGATATATCTGAAATATATATTTGAGACATATCTTTTACATGTAGATAAAAGATATAAGTATGTCGCAGAGCGAATAACAATAGTCTGAAAAGTGAGACTTTATTCTGTTTGAATGTGATATCAAGTGAAACACGGGACTACGCTATGGTTAGACATAACAAACCTGGGCTACCTGCTTCCGAAGAACGACGCAGCACCAATTCGTAGACGCCGCTGAGTCGATTCGCTTCCTGGTTGCGATATGTGCCGCTGAACAGGTGCTTAAGTGAGCGTGGCCCGACTCTTGCATCTCTTCCGTAGATGATCATGCTCAGATCTTTCGTGATAATCGCAGGTCTTCCACAATTCTCCAGCTAAGACCGATACAAATGAGCGTAAGCTCCCCCCTGAGATGTTCCAGCAAACAATTCGAATATTTAATACGTACCTCGAGATACGCGGAGATGGTCATAAAGATTTGCTCTCCGTAAGACGTGACGCGATTGAGCAGAGCCGAGTTGTGCAGGGAGCTATCCCAGGCCGCTTCGAATCTGAACATGGTTCGATCGTCGCCGGGAATCTCGAGATACTCGCCGGGGAACAGGCCCAGCGAAAGCACAGACGAATCGTTGTCCTCTTCCTCGGGTTCCGGGGTGTTCCGAATGCGGCCGACCACGAGCTCGCGCACGTCCTTCCATCTCAATTCGGAAGCCGGTTCGTGCACAATGGTGATTCGTATACGCCGTTGTATGCCCTGATGGAGCAAGAATAGTCCACGACACGGCAGATCGTCGCTGTGGTCCACCACCGACGGCACGTATTCGCCGTTCGGTGCCAACTCGCAGATCTCGAACCATACTAGCACGTCGTATTTGGCGTGCACATGCGACGTGCTAGGAGACGGCAGGACGCTTCCAAATTTCGGCGAACGGACTGGTTGGCTGATCGGTATGGATGGCGGAAGCATCCTCTTCGGTGGCTGTCGTACGCTGCTATGTGAATACAAATGTGTTTATAAAATATTCTTGAGTAAAGTCCAACGGAACTAGCGTTTACGATTAACACTCACTATTCCAGTTTCGCGTCCTTGTGCAACGGATGTTGCTGATAATGGCCGAACACTTCGAAGACGATGGGTTGAGTCTTCAGATATTCCAAGAAGGATTTGGTAACCGTCACTGTAATCTGTATCAATTGACAGATATTATATTGATTAGCAGGATCTAACTTTTAACAAAACTTTTACGTGAGACTCTATAGAACAGAGTCTCTTTCAACTTACGTTCTGTACGTGATAAAATCCGGGTGGATTACCCTTGCCGGTGTTCTTTACCGGTTCCGTCGAGAAAGCTTCGTCATGTCGATGCAGGAAGCTGCGAAAATAATTACGTTGCAGATCACACGCCATAGTAAAACGAGCCGAAGCAGATAGACACGTTTGCACTTACTTGAACTGACAGAAAATGTCAGCGTATTCCGTGGAGATACCCATAGCTTGTAGGACCGTTACCCTGAAAGTGAATTCCGCACCGGGTTGCAAGTGATCCGGCAGCTCTTCCTCCTTCATGTCGCTCGAGACCGAGCTGTCGCCCCTGCCGCTGTCGGCATCTCCCATGTCGTCCTCGTCCTTCATGTCCTTCTGATTGATCTCGTTGTGCCCTTCGACCACGCGCTCCTCGTGCAGCATGATCTGCCGATTCTTTTCCAAAGTCTGAGCCAGAAGCGAGCTGCGTTTGTTGTGTTTGTGCCCGCCGAACAAGTCATCCTCGAAGGAGATTCGCGCTGATTGTCTAACGCCACTTGAGTATTCACTGTTTTCCTCTTCTAGAAGAAGGGTTCGTTATGTACATCTTATATAATACGCGACAGACGCGAAATGTGGGCACATGGCTACGGATTACGTACCAACTACGGCCTGTACGGCGACTCGCAAGTAACCCTTGACGTCGCCCTTTTCGTTCACGATGGCTACCTTGTGGATTAGTGGCACCGGGTACATGAGGTTGCTCAGATACACGAAAGCTCTGAAAAATTTGACATATAAAATCAGATTAGGATAATAATCGAAAGTGAAAGGAGAAGAAGGGAGGGACCGAGGATAGGTCGTGGCGTTGCATCCGAATTATGCTTGTTTACCTGCCGACCATGCGGAACCACGGAAATCGGTCATAAAACGGATCACCTCCTGTGATGGATTCGATATTGAAATCCGGAGACGTAGGTGAGAGCTCGGCCTCGTTGTGATACATCTCGCGCATCAACTCCAGCCTTTGCCTGGAAAGCAGACGAGACTATCGTTTACTACTATTTTCGTGTGGCAAGAGGTAATGCGAATGCAATCATAAATCGTGTGTTAGATCGTTGAAATGTGTTTAATTCATCCAAAATTTCTTCAGTCAGATTTCTTCGGTACGACACATTAAATTTCATTGACCTTTATCATACATGTATTTTATCAGATTATTTTATCATTTACATCCCCAATTATATGTGTAATACTAGTAATACTCGCACGGTTGCGAGTTCAAGCGACTTTTTTCATTGAAAAAAGTTTTGTTTTGTTTTCACGATAAGGAAAAATGTTACTTATAATATTCATGAGCAAGCGGTATATAATATCTAATTAATAAAAAATATTAAAATAGTAATAAATAATATAATATATTTGTTATAGATATGGAATTTCGAGTCTTCCCTTTACGTGTTTAATATTTCTTTCTTTTTATCGCTTTCTTGATCGAACTGTATTGGTCAGAGCTGTACGTGCATGACAAAGTTGGAAAGCGAGATAGTGAGAACACGAGCTCAGCAGGAGATAATTAGAAGATGTGTCAGTGTTGAGACAGACGTGCATAGAATGCCGAGGAGACGCTTTTCTTCACATTCAGACAGCATAGAGATGTTTTCACAGCAGCAGAAGCAGTGCTACTGCGTAAACGATGGCGTAAACTTTTGGCGAGGGGAGCTCGTACTCATTCGATCCGGTTCGCGTTCTTTGCGTTACGAATCAAAAGAAACCATGCAGATTCACCGGTAAATTTTGCGAGCTCAAAGTGCAAAGCCTGGTTTCGCTTGTATCCGCGCCGGAGGGCACGGCATTGCCATTACCATTACCGAGGAAGCCTCTCAAGACAGAAAGAGCAAAAAACGCACAAAATGGCACGGCGGTAAAAAACGACTTTTGCGACAGCGACAGGGGAATTCTTCGAGGCCGAGGGCGTTTAAAAGCGTATTACATGGCGATAAGAGGAGAGCCTCGCGCTTTCGAGCACCAACCTCGAAGGCAAAAGATTTGCGAGCGAGAACTTCGGATTAGAGTAGACTGTAAGGCATTGGAAAATATCCTCTTTGGCCTCCGGAGTGCTGGGGCTCGAGTCCTCGTTGTACACGTGTCGCATCAGCTCCAAGCGCTGTCTACAAGTCAATCATGTATTACTTCGCGTGAGTGAGGCCGTGCGATCCCTTCAGCCCGATCTCCGCCCGAGTCTTAACTCTATCTTACGTAAGCTGCGATTTTGCTCTCGCTCAATTAAAAAGAAAAGATCCGCTAACTAAAAAATTCAACTCATACGATTTCAAGCATCTTGCAATGCGTATAGCGCGCGCAGAATTTTTCATCTCACGATTCCGTGAATATTATTTTAAAAACTTGTTTAATCCTCGTGTTACTTTCGACTTTCGGGCCGATAATCTTCAATTTTCATTGAGCACGCCAAAAATGCGTTCGTGCGACAGTAACAAAATAGAAAAGAAATTGTCGAACGTTGTATGAAAAAAGATCGTATTTTAGTTCGTAATGATGAAGAATTGAAGTATCATTGTAGAGCATGCTACAAGGTGGATGTATAAATTTGATGATTTGTAAAAAATGCGATTATATAATTAGTTACAAAATTACTCCGCAGAGTATTGTCAATTTCCAAATTGACGATTCATTGTGACAAAATTATTTTTCAGAGACAGAGTATATTTCATCTGTACCAGCACGAATGCTCTGTTAATTAAACAAGCGTCATCAAAAAATACAAAATGGAGCAATGAAGCAAACCTTAGCTTGTCCAATGTCCAGTAATGCGTAGCACCATTTTTCGTATCTTGAACCTCAACGGCAACAATCGTGCGCGGGAACGGTCTTTCATCCTCCTCTTCTTCGTCCATAATGGGTAAAAGATCCGGAGGTAGAGGTGAATAAAGAGTGTCCGTGAGTAAAGTAAATTGGAATTGAACCTAGAAAAGAAAATCAATACGATAAAGCCCATTGTACAACGGGAATACTTTTTCCTTGGTATTTTTATATAATATAATTAACAAATACCATTTCTCAACTCTCTCTGTGCGATATTAATTCCATAAAGGACTATCATTACACTCGAAAAAGTACATACGCGGATAAACACAATTCATGTCGCGTTAATCACATTATAAAAAAGATTCAGAGTTCATATTCAAAAGTATTACAGGAACATGGTGCAGAGGTAAATGCAAGTGAAAGAAACACCGTGCCAGAAACTTTTCGTCATATATCCGCGACTGTACCTTCTTTTTTAGTTCAACGGATATAGCATTAGCCTCTTTAAGGAATATCGCGTTGCCCCAAAGATCGTCTCGTAAACTCGTGAATTGATGATATTTCCACTTGCGAAAGGCCCAAGCGGCCAGTTGAAACTCTCTCTCCGTCCAGTTGCTCTCTGCGTCAAACAATGGGTTGACTGAAATGCAAGCCATTACCAGGCAAAACAGTCAGAGAAGCCAAGCGTTCGATGAAATAATACCGATTACTTCGTTAAGTGTATTTCAAATGTGCTATGTTCTATCGACAAGATAATTAGATTTTGGTATCATGCAGTAAACTCTCGATGGTGATGAAAGATATTTGTAAATCTGAAGAGTTACGTGAAAGTTAAGGTGGGATGCCCAATCGATCGGGCATAGCTTCACCAAATTATATTGGGATTCGGAAGCGACATGTTTTTCCACACTTACCGAAAATATCTTCCTCGATGTTATTGAAGTCCTCCGGCGTATAACTGCTATACATGGACATTGTCATACTTTGTTCCTCCACTTGCCTCTGTAGCGCGTCTATCCGTGCTTCGTAGCTCTATTCGCAAAAACGATCGATTATTATAATTAAACAACGAATAAAAAAGAGATGATGTGTGCATTCGTATTATACATACCTTTCGCTGCTCTTCAAACAGTTGATCAGCTTCTTCCTTCTCTTTACGGAACTGTTCCTCCAGTACGAGCAGTCTCTTCTCCATTTCAACCTTTAGATCGATACCCTGCTTTTCTAATAGCTCGACCTGCGCGAAATTCCAGTCCGCTAATGGTTCGTTATTGCCGGGAGTTTCCGCCGGGGATCCATTCGCTATCCGTTCGCGTACTGTATGATTAAACATAGAAATACGATATTTTATTCATACATTTCAGTAAATCTGCAATTCGTTGACTAATAAATAAGAATACTGCATACCTTGATCTGGGTGGTTAAATCGGAAAACATGGCTTTTTCCCAGGATAACACGGGAGCCGGTCGTTAGGATAAGTGGCTCGGTTACCTCGCGACCATTGACGTAAATCAAGGCTCCGTTTTTCGGTATAAGAGTTATAATTCCCTCGTGGTTCTCAAAAACGCAGTGCTCCCTAAGTATGTGCGGGCCACACAACTGGATATCCTGGGGCACGTGCGCCTCGGCGCTACCGATGCGCGTGAATCCGTCCTTGATGTAATAGATCAGACACTCCGACATGAGAGGATCCTCGTTTAGATTCACTAAATGCGGTGTCTTCTTAGGAGAGAAGACACCGACCGTGACGCCATCCTCTTTCACGGCGACCCCCATTTCAGCGAATACTGCCTCGCGTTGCAGGCGGATCGATTCGGTTCGCTTCAGCTTCTCCTCCCATGTTTCATTCAATTCTAAAAACGGAAATAGAATAAAATAAATACGGTACGACGAGGACGTTTGTTAATTTCTACGCTGCGTATCCATAATTGATTATATTATCAACGAGGTAAGAATAGCAAAAGCTACATCGGAATAATCCCAGTTCGCGGGATTACGTACCTGCGATTAATTTTTCGGACGCTTGCAATTGTTCGACCGCCTCTTCAGCAATAGTGGATGTGGTATGAGAAGAAATCCTCGAACGAGTCTCCTTGGTGTCCTCCTCGTTCCGCTTGTTCGTTCTGATAATTTCGTCCCCTGTAAAATGAAGCTTGTAAAGAATCGGGAAAACGCGTTTCTGATATTTAAAATGGCAAGCCTGCATGTCAGAGTCGGTATCGTGAGTCGTATAAACATCGAAAGCCATAATTAAAGCGGTGGCGTAGATGAAAAGAAGTATTCCAAAAGCTGTAGAGTTTGTATTGTTGCTACATACTCATTCTAAAAAACGTAGAAACGTAACTAGTAGACTGATACTTTTTTTTAACGAAACACCGGCACGAGCTGATGAGTACGAGCATGGTCTAATAATCGCATGTCAGATATCTATTATATGCACTTTCAATTATGAATTCGATTGACTTGGCATCCTCATTGTCATATCTCTCTTTTCTATAAACGCAACATTTTACTTTCGAGACACATTCTTGCTCTTACAAAGGAAAGCGTAATCAATCATTAATTTACTTGAATTTTGGGAATTGTCAGAAGAGTTGCTAATTGTATCGAACGTGAGAGAAGAAGGGAGCGCAATCGATAGGCATTAACAGGACAAATACATACAGTAAATGATAAAACTCGCGAAGCAAACGTACAAAAATTAAGGAGATTGACATATACAATACTAACAAGTATTATGCGCTTAGCGATGAAATAAGAGCGCCTAAACAAATAAAAACAAACGTCTACGAAAAGGGCACAAGAGATGCCTCTCTTGGCTGTAATTCTTTGCTTGCATTGCATTGTTTTTTTTTTACTTACTAGGTTCTTTCTTTTCGTATGTAACTTTGCCATCTGGCCCTACGTCGAGCGCAAGGGAAACAAAGAAAATACTATGTGAATGGATTGCCTGTCGCGAGCTGTGCAATTGCAATTAGTTTATAGCAGCCAAGAGTTCACGTTTATGACTTGTTGTGATTCCCTCTGAATAATCTCTATTATAATCTATACGATTATTACTATTGTACTAATCGACAATTGGTATAATAGACAAAGTGAGTTACGATATTATGAGACGATAGCACTTGAATATTTTACATGTTCCGTGAATTTAATTAAACAATTTTAATTTGAGGATTTAATCATTATTCAATCTAGCATTATATTCAGTCTGTCCTCGTCCGTATGTGCTTTCTATGACAAAAAGTCCTCTAAAATCCGATTTTATATAACGATTTCTAATAATTTTCTAAAAATTAACATCCTTAATTTACCTTCTTGTACGTCGATGCCCTCCTGCTTCAGAAGCTCCCGCAGTTTCTGTATCTCCTCCTTGAGTTCTCTGATAAGTCTGGCATTTGCGTCCTCATTGACCACGGCTTTGCAGACGATTTGTTTCGCTCTGTCCGCGTATCTGTGAATAAAACGTTAGTCTTTTAAATCTGAGCAATTAAACGTTAATTAATTAACTAATTAATTCGTTGAGAGTTAGTTCGGAAAATATATAGCGAGTAATAAATCTTACCGTAAGGTTGAAAGCGTCTCATCGTAATTGATGTCGGCGGGACTAACTGCCGCGATCATAGCAGTTTTCGAGTTTCCGCCCAAGTTCTCTCGCAACAACCATGTTAAAACGGAGTCTCTGTACGGTATAAAATCGGCTTTCTTCTTCTTTTTCGTCGCCTATGGAGAAACAAAAATTTACAGAGAACGATTATATATTATATACAGTTAAACTCTATAATCAAATAGATATCACGCGCAATACTTATTGTAATTAATTATTATTTAAATTATAATATTGGTTTTGATAAACTTACCGCCTGATGATCCAAAGTAGCAAACAAGTAGAATAATAATGTGAATACTAGATAAATTCAGTACTTAATGTAGCACGTAGATTTTAGCAAAATACGAAACTTACAATTTCGGCCAGGGCACTGATAACTTTCCCGAGAGTCGTCAAACTCTTGTTAATGTTGGCTCCTTCTTTCAATCGTGTCCCTTTCGCACCCGTCGAATCAGCTCTCTCGGATCCGGCCAGATCGACCAGCGATATTTTACTAACTTTTTCCGTCATCAAACCAGTAGCACTGTCCTGTTGCTGCTGCGTAAAGAATATCGTGAAAACTGCGTGCGATCTGCTAGATGTTTCGTTCATGTTGGTTGCTGCGACAGTCCTAGAATGTACAATAACGCGTATTGTACAGCATGCTATAAAAATATATTTTTTATTTGCAAATAGTCACTGCGCGTAAACCAACCTGGCCTTGTTACCCTCGTCTATGAGATCGTGAATGTCTTCGTACGACAATACGGCTAGCTTGGAAAGATCTTCGACATAGGGTCCGTAGAGAGGGTGTTCCCTTACTCGAAGATTTCCTCTGTTTTTCGGATTTAACAGATCGCGTACCCTTTCGCAATATATTTCCATATAACTCACTTCTACCGAATACTTCAATCGCTCATTAGACGTATAGCTGATTTTGCTAAACAGATCCTTGCAAATCTGTGGTATTATTCCCTCCTGCCCTTCTTCCTGCTTGCCCATCATGGTGTAAGATTTACCGGCGCCAGTTTGCCCGTATGCAAATATGCAAACGTTATAGCCTGTGTTACGAAGTACAATAAAGAGTTATTATTCCATGTCTAGCAGTGAAATCAATAGTTAATCAAATTTTACTTTGAAAAGTAATACAATTTTCAAAAATTTATCTAAAAATTAAAGTTAGTGTCATTAATAACATGTGATTATTTATAATTATTTCTCACATAAAAAACTATTGTATCCTTCATATCATCTTTCCCTGAGTTTTTTCAAATTGTTTTTTAACGAATTGTTAGAGCAGACACTTTTTATCCATCTGTTAATTAATATCTACCTTCGAAAGCATGTTCCAACATTTCTTCACCGATATCCTTGTAAACCATAAGCTGAGTTGAGTAGTTGTCATCATTTGGCTGCAATAATTTGAGAAATTATTTTTTAAATTCAGCAGCAACTAAACATAACGGTATTAATAATTCCTATATTGGAAAAAAATACACTTACATCCATAGAAAAGTAGGAATAGTCATAGTTGAAGCTCTTGACTGCTTCTTTGCTTCCTGGTGTAGCTTTCGGATTCACTATGGCTATAACAGCAAAAGTAGGGGATCAAATGTGTGATAGATTAGTAATTATTTTACGAGTCGCCCGACTTTTAAAGCTGCGAGTTAGAAGTAGTACTTACAAGTAGTACTCCCCGTCATTTCTATGATACATTGTGCCTGACGACTGATCTCGCGGTAGTTGAAGGGCCGTACCCTCACCGCCACCTTAACCGACGACATTTTCTCTATTTTTTTTCCTCTTCTTCCCTTTTTAACTTAACGTCGGATCAAGCCAGCTGGCGGTGCTGGCGATAATTTTCTCTCTCGTTTGTCTCTCTGCAACGAAATAACGTCTCGTTAATTACGCCGCTATTGAATTGATTGAATTAATTTATGTTTAACGTCGCTTATTGCAAGTACTCGGTGAAAAAAAAACTGCTAGGAAACCGCTCTATAGTCTTTACATCTAAGAATATATCTCAGTTATTAATATACAATTCCGATAACATTTTTCCACGGAGGTGAATAAGAAAAGAACAAAAACGTAGCGCGCATATTCGCGATATATTATTTCACGCGGAGTTAGTCGTTGACATAAACCACTGAAATTAGACATATCATTTACAGACTTATTTAAGGATTATATAAGATTTACATGTGCTTTTATTAAATTAAAAATGCACAGTATATTTTTTCGTGCACGGAATACTTTTCACGCGGGGATCGTTAGTCGTTGACATGAATCACTGAAACCAGACAGGTCACTTTACAACAGACTTTTTAATGATTATATAAAATTCACGTATGCTTTTATTAGATTAAAAATACGTATAGTATATTCGCGTAAGCAGAGTATTTTTCAAGTATCGTTAATCGTTGATATGAACTACAGAAACCAGATAGATCATTTGACACATCAGACTTATTCTTAGGGATCATATAAGATTCACATGTGCTTTTATAACATTTAAAACATTTATAACATTTAAAATGTGTAGTATATTTTTTTCGTGCGCGGAATTATTTTCACGCGAGTTTCGTTAATCGTTGATATGAACCACTAAAACAAGATAAATCATTTTCTATCCAACTCATTCATAGGGGGTCATACAAGATTCAAATATGTTTTATTAAATTTTTAATAGCAATGTTTTGTTAAATTTTATTAAATTAATGTGTGTTTAAAATACACGGTGTATTTTTGCGTGCACGAACTATTTTTTGCGAAAGTGTCGTTAATCGTTGACATAAACTACTGAAACCAGACCGGTCACTTTGCATCAGACTTAATTCTTAAGGATCATGTAAGATTTACATGTGCTTTTATTAAATTTAAAAGTACATATTTTTTTCGTGCGCGGAATATTTTTCACGCGAGTATCGTTAATCGTTGATATAAATCACTGAAAACACATAGATTATTTTACATCAGACTAATTTTCAAGGATCATATCAGATTCAGTTTTTATTAAATTTGAATTTAAATTACGCTTCGTACAATCCAAATTTATGCAAATGTGCTGCTTAATGTCATTAGACACGACAGACTTCTATCCGCGATCAGGTGGAAATTGCTCGACCAATTCCGTGCAATAATAATCGGCCGGTCGAATGTGATAACGACACTTACATATTTACAAGCGTCATCGAGGAATAGTGCGGGCCATTGATCCGTCCAGAAATACGTGAATTATCGGGTAAAGGAAGAATGATTAATTAGTACCGTGACCGATCTATATCTGTGGGAAACCGCGGGGAAGTCACATTCTTGCGAGAGATGAGATAATTCATCTTGACTGATCGGCGAGCGTTTGGACGGAATAAACGAATTCGTCGACGAAAAAAAGGAATTCAGTGTTTCAGATATTCGATTATTCTCCCGATCGAATCCCACGATATCGAGTTATGTCGGAAAAAATTTACTATTTAATTCGTACACAAAGAATCGAACTTGTGCGCGGTCAGAAACTCACTTTTCGTTATTTATTTACGACGATTTAATTTTCTACAAATATTCACGAACCAATATTGTTAATGAAAATGACGGATGTCATATGTTACGAACGTAAATACTGACGTCATTATTACGCCGATGTGTAGAGTGTGAGGTAGGTAAGTATAATACATTGCCACCGGAAAATTGTGCGCGTATGCATAGATCGATAATTGGAATAAATACAATGTATAATTAATATGGTTACACACGATAGTGTTAGTATGTTATAATAATATTGGAATAAATGCAATGTATTAACATGTTACATACGAAATTGTTAGTATATTAATACGTGGCATACGAATACGTTAGCATTAACGTACCACATATGTATTAATATTGTCAAAGTGCGAAAAGGAATTTCATGTACTTTAAATGTACTTAAAATTTGTTCATTTAATTTGTTCACTTCACATTTGTCCACTTTAAATATTTGTTCACTTTAAATTTGTTCATTTAAAATTACTTCATTTTTTTCGTGTATTATTTAAAGAGCATTATCTCTCTGTCTGTGTAAGTTGACGGATGATAATCAATTATCAATGCGCTCGCTGAAAGTTCGAAGGAATCGAATCTGAAGGCTTGGAAATGCATAATGTAAATGTACACGTGTAAATGAGTCATCGGGAATCGTGACGTCTTACGCGAAAAAATGCATGAATGCGTAATAGAGTCCAGCCGACGCTAACGAGACGGGAGGAGCTTCTCAATATACAGTACTCGCGCGATTCAGGGAGGGACCATCTAATTAAATTTATCCCCGCTTGTGTCTTCAGAGAAGAGGGCATAGAGAAGAGAATTGTATTTGTTTCTTAATAAGTAAATTGTATTTGTTTCTTAATAAGTTCATTATTGTTCAGAGAAGGTCATGCGCTTTTAATCTCGACTTAATTTAAGATCCGTCGAGGAAGATTATTCATGAATAATGGAAAATGAGATAACGAAAGAATTAGGAGGAAAAGGAGGAAAGAATAGAATAGTTACGAAACGAAAGAACGGAAGAATTAGGAATGGTAACGAAATAACGGAAAAAGGTCTCTCCTCGAAACGGATATCTCGATTAGTCGTCGCTGTAACAGGAAACGAAATAATACGTAAAATAGTAAATTAATAATTTGTTGAATATTGCAAAGCGTATTCCTCTCATCAAATTAATCCGTAATTAACTTTACAAACGCATTAATACGTTGACTGCCATGATGGTCACTGCTGAACGGTGCTATCAAATTTTTTTTTAAAACGTTCGTAAATAAAAAATAAACATTTAATACAATTTTGAACGGCGTAAATAGTCGAACGACAAAAGTGTAAAGTAAAAAGCGTGCTATTCGACAACAATATAATTTTTATTTTCATTAATCATTAATCATTTGTGTACTATTTTATCGCTATATGTTCACGAAAATGGTATTGTAACAAATGTACAAAACTCGCTGGGCATACAACGTGTTAACACACACTGCGCGGACAAATTATTAAATTATTTTACGTAATATATATTATTTCTTTTTCTGTTAGCGATGACTAATATCGTGGGCCTTTTAAGGCACAGTCGATTTTTCATTTGTAATTCCTACGGGAATGAGGAAAAAAAAATTGCAACAGTCCAGTCTATGCAAGTATAGAAATCAATCATTTTGAAGCCTTAAAGACGATACATGAATTTTTATAGACTTTTTGTAACACAGAAACGCTTTCAAAAACCCTTTGGACTTCAAAGTCGCAGGGTGTCCGGGTGAGTGTCCCAAAAAACACGGTGTCCGCAGGTGTTAAGAATACTGGGATAAGAATCGAAGGAGCTTCGAACTCCAGCCTGGCGCGGCGTCTGCCATTTCTCGAGGGTGTTCGGTATAAAACACGCGGAGGGCCGCCCAAAAGGCCACGACCTGCGAGAGCCTCGAGGGAGTCGAAGAGGACCGATCAACGTCGTCGGGTTTCCGGAAAAAGAAACGCTCTTCCCTTCCGCGACGAGAGGCCGTTCCCGTAATCGACGTGCAAAACATTATCGCGGTAAAGCGGCGTGATCGATACGACGGCGTATCCGAGTGTAGTTCGCCGGAGGAAGGTCCGGAAGGGGCGTGAGGCGGGGAACACGGCGGGCACGGTGTGTATATGTGGATTTTTACGATCGATCGTCTCTCCACGCTCGGAGGATACGACGTCGCACGGACGTCAGGCCTTACCTCTTCTCAGACGGCTCGAACGGAAGGAAAGCGCTCGGAGAGGAGGGTCAAGCGGAGATGCCAAAGGGAGAAGACCGAGGATGTCTCGCGACAAGGAACTTCCTTTCCCTTTCGCGCGAAGGAGAGGAGAAATGACGCGCGAGCGAGCGGCGAGACGAGACCAGGGACTCTCCTTGCAGAGAGATTCGCGACGGCACTCGCGAAAACGATTCTTCACGTACACGACGGCGTTCTCCAGCACTCTAACGTCACTACGTCGGCCATCCGCTGAACGATCCGCGACCCGCGAGAACCACGTAGGCGGACATTATAGCGCGTGTACACCCGCGCGCACGCATACGAGTTACGAGCCACCCTGCACTACCCGCTGTCTGCCGTCCGCCGAGCGGACGTTCGGCTTCGCCACCCCCGTTGCAACACCACCCCCGAGTCGTGGCGAGTGCTGACGACGGTACGCTGCGGGCGCCTGCGTGCTGCTTCGTCCGTCGTCCTCGTCCTCGTCGTCGTCGTCGTCGTCGGGAACGCGAAGTCGCGCGCGTCCGGGGTATAATAGGGATGCTTAAGTTTAGTAGGGTACCGCTGCTTTCCTACCCCTTCGGTATCGAACCGACGCAGGTATCGATACTTCCTTTTAAGAGAGGCGCCTTCCCTGCGACGATCGAGAGACTTGAAATTTCTGTCGTAATTAATCAGTAGGAATAATTAATGCGCCTCCGCTTCGTTCCCCGAGCAATATTTTCCTTTTTAATGTTGACATTTATCGCAATTGTAAAATAAATTATATGACACTGAATAGAAGCGCTTTATATATTATTTTCCGTATTTTAAGTTCGAATGAATTTATTTCTTTGCGCTATATGATTGTCTAATCTCAAGATTGTAAAATATTTAATTTCCGATGGACTTCTACATCCTCCTACTCGTGTCTTCTTCAATTAATTATTGTAAATTATTGTTATTCATAGACCTTGCGTATATTTTGGAAAAGATACGGTGAACGAAAAACAGCCCACGCGTGTCAATTACGTCGTCGTTCCTGTTTTATATCTTCATTGAATTTGCATAATAATATGAAAAGTTTTACCCTCCATAAAATATTTTTTGTCGCCCGTGTTTAATACTCGCGAATGAATAAAAATACCCTGTACCCTATTAAA